TATTTACAATAAATTTTTTCAGAGTGTAAGTCGGCATAGTCAGTGTCTATAAACTCAACAGCATTCTTTCTATCTACACGTTTAGTCATAAAAAATGCACGTTCTGGTTGGAGGATACCTCTACATCTTCCTGAACTTCGCTCATTGAATCACCTTCCAACACATTCTGGACATCTTTTTGCTCGAATTCATTATTATCATCATCCTTATTGAGATCAATAACATTTGAGGTATCATCACTGGATGGCCATTCTGTCAATGCTCCTGAATTACTGGATTTTCTTTCAGTTGAGGTATCATCACTGGATAGCCATTCTGTCAATGCTCCTGATTTACTGGATTTTCTTTGAGTGAGGTATCATCACTGAATAGCCATTCTGTCAGTGCTCCTGATTTACTGGATTTTCTTTCAGTAGATGAAGTCTTTCTCTTCTTGGAATTTCTTGATTTTGTCTCAGCTTTTTCCAACTTGGCCAACTCTTTCGTTTTTAACTGTCGTTCCTGGTGAATTTCCAAAATTGACTTATTAATTTCTGCAGCTTCCAGGAACTTTTCTGTATTCGAATATTTCTGTTTTTGTTTTTCCAAAAGACTAATAGTTTCATTATGGTTTTGAATTGCGCCTGATAACTCCTGAATTTTATCTTTTCTCATCTCATTGTGCAAGTACTGACATTTCTTCGTTTGTTTTGATTGTGTAGTCTGTTTTCCAAAGGCAGTAGATCGAGAAACTTTTTTTTTATAACTGTAGCCTTCATCATCAACTCTCTTTCTTGCACAGGCAAACAACTCTCCTCGATCTTGCAACAATGAACAATCTTGTTTTGCCAATTCCAAACTTGCATCATTAACTGCTTTTTGGTACTCTGATAAATCGACCAAATTGCCACTTCGACCATAGATTTTACTTTCCTTTTCTAGATATGCAGAGTCGATTGTGACTGTGCTTGTCTCACCAGACACGTTAACTTCATTAACCTAATAATAGAATAATATTTTCAGAGAATTTAAATTTAAACATAAAGTGAAATTTTTACATGTATCATATAATATACAGACACAGATTAACAATACATTTATTATGACTTACTTCACTAACTTCTCCAAGGGAAAGTGTCCCACTCTGCCCAACCAATGTTCTTTGTTTAGACTGCATCTTTTCTTCTTTAAAAGTAAACATTACAACATCTAACTCACATGGAAAATTATAATTTATCAATAAAAGTTTTATAAATTTCTATGGTAATTCTCCACTTTCTAATGGTGTAAAATGGATTTGTGGCAATGAAAAAGGCAAAACATTTTAATTTTCCTTACATAAAAATACATGTAACAATAAAACATTCACCTCCTTGGGACAAATACTGTACACTCTGATTATTCTGGACCTTGACAAACAAAAACAAAGGTACATTTTAATTTCTACATTGTGACTATTTGTCTTGAAATCAAAATAGGTTTAAGGAATTTTGCTATTTTGCTAGGTTGTTAAAAATTTAACCAGTAAAATATGAGAAATTTGTAAGAAAGCCAACATAGTACAGTGGTCAAACACATGCACTTAATTTCAAAGACTGTTCTGTTTATAGTAATATTCTTGTGTGTTTTCCCCATATATATATATATATATATATATATATATATATATATATATATATATATATATATATATATATATATATATATATATATATATATATATATATATATATATATATATATATAGTATATTCACCCATGCAGCATTTAATAATATCAGCTGATTTAAAGTAATTTTTAAAGACCCACGTCCATATAGCTATTGAGTATTGTCATATTTAACATTGAGTCAACATTTATATGGGGTCAACATTTATATATATCTTATTTTTTTGTGGGTTTTGCTCTAGAATTCACTGCCAGGGAGACAGGTCTATACTAGTTGGGTGTGTATGAATGATAAACACCAAATCAGCTTTGCCCATGGCGATTCAGCAAATTATGGAGCCTACCTGTTTTTCTGCCACAATGCTAATACTTTCCTGTTCCACTACTAGCCTGTCTTTATCAGTAACGTCATCTATGTTATCAATTTCAATATAGTCGTTCCATTCACAGTCAAATTTTTAAAGATAAACCCTTTGTATTTTCGGGAATTTTGAAACAATTTTTTACTTCAATAATCAATTGCTCGAATGTTTGACTGTCACTTTCATGTATTTGAATGATTTTTTTTCTGTCTCCCAACTGTAACAACACCTATATTTGACAAAATGAAATATATTATAAATAAATATTAATGTATTATTAACTGTACCATGCTTGTATTCAAATCAGTGAAATGCTGTTTAAAATAAAGAATCAAGAGTGTTTGTTTGTGTTTTTTTTCCAAATATACAGGAAGTCACATTTGCATACTTGTTTTAAAATACTTTTAATATATTTGCATACTAAAATATGTAAAATACCAAATTTGTAATTTCATACTGAATTGAATTGCGATAGCTTTTATAACTTTAACGTTACATGTAATGAACAGTGTCCAGTTTTTTTGGGACACCAGTAGAAATAATTTTGCCAATGTCAAATACTGAGCCATATAGTCGGTTTCAACCTTTGTAAACTCTAGTGAAATTCATTTTGTGGCACGCTGAACATGAATTCAAGATCCTTGTGTGGCAGAAGCGTTTATTTGTCACTTCGTAGCAAAAGTTGGGGAAGAAACAGTGATGTTATTTATAACCAATTCTGTGAAGTACCAAGCACACCAAGCTGTACCATATCGCGAAAAGTGTGTGAGGATTTCCTACAAATCATACGATTTAGCAGCCGTAAAGAGAGTTTTAGAGGAGCAGAAAATACTAAAGTTACGAGATACAGTCGCTTTTCGTCACTTTGATGAGATATCATTGCCATTGGACGGAACTTCAACAAAGATGTCCATGAAAGAGAAGATACAGTGAATGAAGAGTGCTGCCAAAGTTGGATATGCAGAACGGGCCGTGCATTCACCCACCTCACACAGTTCTCTCGTAGTCTCAGATGCCGAGGGACATTCGACAAGAGAGATAGAAATAATATATTGGCCGAAGTTGTACTCTTTTTTGAAAGTGTTTAAATTTCAGCTTCGCTTCTTCGTTCAAAAATGCTAATTACAGTAAAATGGACAATTTATACAAGACATTTGTTCAGCCGTTTGGTCCACCACTCTCATTCTATTGTTCTATATTACTACTAGCCCGAGTTCCCTTTCTTTCTATAAAATAACCAGAAGCATACTATAATGCTTTAGGTTATCGTTTGCACATTTACACATAGTTTCATACCATATACTCTATACAAAAGACAAATTATCACTTACCGTTGAAAAGTCTTTTGCGTTTTTGCTTAAAGCCTTGTATAGTTATAGGACAAAGACTCCAAAACCTTTTGAAAAAGGTTTTGTAAAGAAAGTTAACTTTTCTATAAATTGTATCATCGTAATGAATAACTACATGTTAATATAAAGTTACTACCACAGTAAAAGTAATATGTTTAGCCGGAAAGAACAATAGTATCAATTTTGGAATAGGTAATAGGACCTCTACATGTGTCTTGGACCTGTTTGCTTGTAATCATTATTTATCTAATGGATTTATTTTATATTCAACAGGGTCTTGAAAGTAGACCATGCCACAAAATTTTGTATAAAAGGTGCACGCGTATTATGTGTGCATTGTTTTTTGTCTTATTATGTAAATCCATTGTAGAAATATCGTAATTGAAGTTAGCATGTACTGTATGTAAAGTTATTATCGGAAGAG